GCGCCGGGCGAGTCTCCGAGGGCGTCGTACCTGCGAGTGTTTTTTTTTTTTTTTGGCACGGCGTAGAATGGTGATAGTGTTGGTGTTGCGGTTTTGAGATTGAGTTCAACGGGTATTTCGGGAGAAGGAGATGGTGCCACATGCATAGGAGTCACCAAAATACGTGAACGAGCGAGAAAAAAAAAGAAGAGAACCATGGACTGCCGTCTTTTCTTTGCATGAGCCCGTCAGCGCGGTCGATGCTGACAACAAAGACATATATGGTCGATGCTAATAGCTAAGGGAACACACACAAGCTCACACACACACACTCACGTCCACGTTAGCGCGGTGCTGGTAACAACACACACGCACAAGAGACTGACGGCTTTTCATTGATCAGTCGGTTGGAGCGGTCGATGCTAACAAAAAAAAAAGACACACACACCTCTCCCCGTCCTCCTGCGAAGCCTGAGAGCCGTACTCCTCGTGGTACAGGCGGTTCTGCTCGTCGTCCTGCGCACTAATCCCGTCCAGCTCCTGTACCCCCTCTAGCATCTTGACCCCCGAACGGCCAACGCCTCTGCTGGCGTTCGAGTGGAACCCATGGCTGTCAGACTTGTCGTGAGAGGCCGACCTCTTCACCGACTGCCCGATCGTACCCGACTAGTTCGTTGATGTCGGCGAAACGGAAAACAAAGGGTGGGGCGGGGGGGGGATGGTCGGGGACGAGGGACGCGAACGCATGACATGCTTTATATTTTTCGGGTTGAAACCGGCGTCTTTTTACAACCGCAAGGAAATTGGCCGGGTACACATGACCAATAAGAAACGCACACGCAGTCACTCTTTCTTTCTGTCTCCATCAATCTCTCTCTCTCGCTCTGTCTCTCTACATATTCCTCTCACCTTCACCCTCGTCATGGCTCCTGGCGTAGAGACCTCGATCTTATCGATGAAACGCCCTGGGCAAATCGTCAAACAGAAAAAAAAAAGTGATCTCGCTAGTTGTCAGAAAGGTCACAGCAGTGAGTTACGCTTCGCACCACGCCACCGTCCTGCTGCCGCTAGCTGTAGATACAGATTTCGCCTTGACTACGAGACAAAGACATTCATGCTGCTTTTTGACCCGAAGCAGAGCAGATCATCACAACGTCAACTCTAACAAGCTCCAGTCCAGCCAAACCGGGGGTCCCCCCCCCCCCCCCCCCCCCCCCCCCCCCCCCCCCCCCCCCCCCC